AAAGAACATAAACTGGCAACTTGGACAACCCATTCGGGACCCCTCCTGTCCTCAGGAGCTATTCCTACTCCCCATTCTTACTCTCCATTCTTTTTCTCCAGTAAATTTTCATACTCTTAAAAAAAAAATTGGCAACTTCAAAGAAGTTGTATTTTTTTTTGGTTTGGTTTTTGGTGCTGCAAATACGACCTAGGCACAGGCCCTACCACTGAGCTATACCTCTAGGCTGCTTGGTTGGTCTGTCTGATTGTCTGTCTGTCTGTCTCCACTATGTAGCCCAGAGTGGTCTAAAGCTTCTATGATCCTCTTGCCTCAGCCTCCTAAGGCCTGGGAGAGATATGTGCTATCACACTCCACTTGATTTTTTTTTTTTCCAGTACTAGGGATTGAACCCAGGTCCTTAATTATACTCCCAGCCCTGTTTATTTTGAGACAGGGTCTCACTAAGTCATTAAATTGCCCACATGTGGACTGGAAGTGGTTCACACCTATAATCCTAGTGCTGGGGAGGCTGAAGCAGGAGGATAGCCATGAGTTCAAGGGCAGCCTGCGCTACACAGTGAGTTTAAGGCCAGCCTGAATTACAGAGTGAGACCCTGTCTCAAAAAAAAAAAAAAAAAATTGTCCACACATGGCTCAAAGTTGCAATCCTCCTGCCTCAGTCTCCTGAGTAGCTGAGATTACAGGTGTGTGCCATTGCACCCAGCTACAAAAGAGAAAATCCAAAATGTGAGCAAGAAAGAAAACAGATACTTTAATCCATCAGAAATTACAGAAATAAACACTAAAACAACAGCTGCCACTTTACTCCTATTAGATGGGCAAAGTCAAATGTTGAATAATACAGAGGGTTAGGGAGGCATAAGGTTACAAATGCCCCAAGCACTGTGGGTAGAGGTGCATGCTGGGCCCATCACTATGGAGACAGTATGGAAGCAATCTCTCCAAAGAGTGTCACACAGATTAGCCAGTGAACCTGGACAGGGAAACTTGCCACTGTGTTTTTTTGTGGTATGAAGAAGTTGGAGGCTGTCATCATCAAGGTAGAGATAACCTGGAGAAGAGCCCACTAGAGGACTTTAGAGCAGTAACAAGAGATTGAGCAGATGATATAACACTGCAACATGAAGAACCTTTTTTTTTTTCTGTCTTTTTGAGACCGGGTCTCGCTATGCAGTTCAGGCTGGCCTTGACCTCACTTTGTAGCCCAGGCTGGCCCCAAACTAGAAATGATCCTCCTGCCTCAGCCTCCCAAGTGCTGGGATTACAAGTGTGCACCACCACGCCCGGCTAACATGAAGAATCTTAAAAACCTAACACTGAGTAGGAAAAAGTAAGAAACAGAATGTACTGTTTATGTACATTAAAAGCATCTGCACACAAAACAAGATGAAGGATTTTACCAGAACACAGACTAGAGAGATGCCCATGAAGTATGTTGTATGGCTGCCTGTGGGGCTAGGTAAGAGGATTGTGGGCCACTAGCTGGGTGGAGAAAGGGTGATGGCATCCAGAAACAGTGTATGCAAAAGCTTGGAGGTAGCTTAGAGCTGGTGCCCTTGAGGAGCTGACTGTGTGCCCATGTTGTGGGGGCAAATGGTTTAAGAGAAGAGAGGGGAAAGAGCCAAAGATGTCCTTTGCAGACATCTCAAGGCATTTGTAGGTTATCTTTTTTCTTTTTGAGACAAGGCCTCATTATGTAGCCCAGGCTTGCCTCAGACTCATGGTGATCCTCCTTCCTCAGGCTCCTGAGTGCTGGGATTATTGGCACGTGCCACTGTGTCTGGCCTTTTAGGATACTTTGATGGCAAATGGTAAGCCAGTGAAGAACTTCAGGAAGGGAAGTGACCTGGTCATGTGTGGGTTTTAGGAAATTCACTCTGTCTACCTTCAGAGGCCAGCAGAGCAGGCAGAGTCACCACAATCCAGAAGCGGAGCGGAGGCTTCCTGTTTCCCCTACTTTCACAAATGATGTCCTCCCAGGGTAATGATACCCCAAAGACAGAGGCCAAGCCAGATAGAGTTTTTGCCCTATGAGCACCACAGTGGCTAGTCCAGAACACACCATAAGGCCAGCAAAGTTTTGCTGAGCTGAACATTAAGCTGACCATCTCAGAAGGAACAGACTGGCCCTAATCATCCACTGGAGCAGCCACACTACAGTTGTTCCTTTTACCAATGGGAAAACAAAGTCGGGGGGGGGGTCACATGACATCCCTAGGGTCACACAGCTTATGAGATATGGGGCCATACAACTAGGGTTTGAACTCGTTTGTCTCCAGAGTTCAAGAGCTTTCATCTTCACGATGTATTTTCAGATATCTAAACTTGTAGGCTATCACGATTGAGATGTACTTAAGAAATCATCTAATCCAACACTCTCATTTTCAGAAGACTCACCTAAACCCCAGTGAAAGGAAGACATTTCCCAGGAACATCAATTCAGAGTTAGGACTTTATGGTAAGTCTCTTGATTCACCTTTCCCTATATACCTGAAACCTTTCTAGAGTTAAACTGCATGCTGGTTGTGACAGTTGTTCATTCAGTTCCCAATTCTGTGTTCTGAGTGACTGTGCATCTGATGAAATGGGCATGTACTTTGGAGTCACACAGAAATGGGTTCAAATCCTAGCTCCTAAGGAGGGATCGATAGATAGATAGATAGATAGATAGATAGATAGATAGATTCCACCAAAAAAAGTATACACACTTCAGCAGTTTGCCATACTAATAACTGTCTGGAAGTTAATGGAAATACTTTGAGTACCTCTTGTAATTGTAGAGGCCAAAGGAAACTTGGATTAATTTTATGATATCTCAATGAATTTAGTATTAAAATGTTATACAATTTTTTCCTGATGTATACTTTTTGTGGGAATATATATATATATATATATATATATATATATATGCTGCTAGTACTCAGGAGGCTGAGGCAGGAGGGTTATCATGAGTTCAGGGCCAGCCTGGGCTGCACAATAGTTCAAGGACAACCTTGACTATATCACAAGACCCCATCTCAAAGAAAAATGCTTGTATGTGCACACACAGTCTCTGAAAGGATCTATAAGAAACTTGTAAATAGGAAGGGAATCAAGAGACAGAGGAAGGGGAAAGGAAAGGAAGGGAGGGGGTGGGGGAGTAAAAAGAATTAAGATGTTATGTATATGTTCCAACTCCACACTATGAATGTAATCATTATGTACTGCAAACATGTATTAATGAAAATATAAAAGAAATTTAATTCAGTGATTTGCCTCCAAAGAGGCAGTCTTGTTGGGGAGAACTTTTAGCTGTATGCCCTTTTTTGTATGCCTTTGCACTTTTTTTAAAATTTATGTGCAATAGTTTTCTGTTTTTATTTTTAGAAGACCGGTCTCTTCCATTTAGTCATTGCATATGATTGAGGAAGGCTTTTAACCCTCTGAGGATTCATGCATTATGGTGCCCTGATGAGGGCGGGATGTGAATTTAGAGGGCTGGCAGTCAGATGGGGCCCTCACTGGTGTTTTGCAGCCAGGTTTGGAGTCCCTACCACGTTGAACTTACCGTGGTAGTTCAGGGCGAAGGAAACTGTGATCTATGCACTCTGTCCTTGGTGCTGAAGTGATGCCGCATGCATGTGTGTTTCTTGGGCTCAGAGACATTAGCTAGTTGCTCTTCTCAGTAATTCTGAACCAAGGATTGCCACTTTCAGCCTTCAGAAATACCAATACTGCTTGCATCTTGCAGCCCTTCTTCTTTATGGTGCTGGTTGTACCCACTCTCCAGGGTTCTAGTTATACCTGCCCTTAAGAGTGCGTTTTAGGACAGGGCCCTGCTAGACCTGGGCTGTGCTAGACCTGGGCCTCACCATGCCTAGTGAGTTCCCACTCCATTTGCTCATCCTCCAAATTCATGGAGATCAGGGCACCTGATATTGGATGGGAGGTCAGTGACCTGTTAAACAAGCAAAACCTTACCTTGATCTCCCACCCTAAATACTCCATTCATGTATTTTTGAGAGTTGTGCCTTTTTTTTTCTTTTTTTGAGTTGTGCCATTTCTACCAACCACAAAGTGTTTTTCTTTTCCTTCTCTGAAAATGGCAAGGAAAACTGCCTAACCCATCTCCATTACTCTCATGAGGGCTGCATGAGCTGTAAGTGACTCATTCAAAGTTCTTCTAAGCCTGAGGAGCCTGGGAATTCAGGGAGAGACTGGAGCGTGAAGCCCTGGTCTGCTCTGGCATCAGAAGAGAGAGAAAGGAGTCCTCAGGGCTCCACATACTCCAGGGAGATACCAAGGGCAGGCAAAGGCTGCTGTTTGACCCCACTTACTGCATTTGGTACTGTGTGGGAAAGGGGAAGAAGACGCACACTTTGGCCCCTGTCCAGCTCTGCCCCGACTCATTCATCCCAGCAGAAAACTTTCTATTTCGATCTGCAGCTGCAGAATGAGATCACGTCTAGTCGGGAGAGAAGGCAGCACAGAAGGGCCCCCAGCCACGTGGGGCGGAGAACTACGGGTTTTTGGGCTATCAGCAATAGGATGCCATTTCCATCCAGAGAACCAGGGACAGCTCCTGTCCTACGACTCCATTCTTCCTCCTCCTGTTCCCATTACTTACCCCACCAGCCCTGGGAATGAATCCTCGCTGCACTATTAGTTTTTGTGACACGCGTGGCGTCGGACAAGTCTCTTAACTTTCCCGAGTCTGAGTTTCTTCATGTGTAACATGTAATAGAGGGGTAGTGCAATGGGGGAGGCAATGCGGTTGAGGCAGGGAAAAACAGTGCCAGGCACGCGAGACCCGGACACTCGATTGCGCTTGCCGTCCCACACCACGCGGCGCCACGCCCCACCTCCCCGCCCCGGCCCGGCGCCCTCACCGGTTCTCCGCCACCAGGATCTGCTCCAGCAGGCGCGCGGCCTGCACACGCGTCTCCAGCTCCGACGCCTGCAGCAGCCGCAACAGCAGGTCGAGGCCGCCATCCAGGCGGATGGCGTCGCATAGACCCTGGGCCACCTCGCGGCCCACGGCCGGGAGCAGCCAGGCCTCCTCCACCAGCTGGAAGACCTCAACGAGGCCCGCGCCCACGGCCCGAGCGGCGCCCGCCTGCTTCAGCGCTGATAGCGCCTGCTGCAGCTCGGGCAGCGCACGCTCCAGGGCGCCCTGCACCTCGGCCCCCACTCCGGGCGACACCTCGCGGGGCCCGCGGCCGCCCGTAGCCCACCACGGACCCGCGCCGCCGCCTCCATCCTGCCCGGGCACAGTCAGCCTCTCGGAGCCGGCCCGCGGTCCAGACATGGTGAAGAAGCCGCACAGCTTGTGGGCGGAGAGGAGCAGCGTCAGGACCATGGGCGCGGGGCTGCGGGGCACATTCCCCGCCTGGAGGGGCGGAACCGGGCGGAGACCCCGACCTGGGAGCAGCGAGAGCGGAGAGCGGGCGGCCGGGAAGGAGACGCTCGGAGCGTGATGCAGAGAAGGCCGCCCCGCAAGGGCGCTGGCCCGAAGTTTGGGGGAAGGGGAGCCCACGCTGGGGCGCAGAGGCTGGGGAAGGGGATGCGAGCCCAGATTCAGCGAGCGGGCAGAAGGCGGGAATGGGAAGGCAAAAGACGCATCCAGATGCGAGAGGGAGAGAAGGCAGCGGCCAGAACAAAGCGCTGCTCTAGCTGGGGTTTGGCTGGGCAGAGAGATGCGGGTCAGTAGCCACGCCCCTGAGCGGCGAGTCGGGAGGGGAGGCCCCGCCTCTGGTCTCGGGGGACTCCGCCCCCTCCGCGTGTACAGCCCCACCCCTACCGCCTTCGCGAGCCACGCCCACACCCCCGGCCCTCTCGCAGTCCCTGTCCTGCCCTGGTTGTGGAGGAAGAGGGTGGAGAGATGAACGCCTCTGAGTGTGCCTGCTCCGCTCCTAGTGGTTAAAGCAATTGCAGTAATTCCACAGGATTTTTGTTCTTTTTGTTTTTTTCTGCCGTGCTAGGGAAGGAACTCAAGGCCTCGCCATGCTAGACAAGCACTCTACCGCTAATCTACATCCCCAGCCCCTGCACAACTCTTGAGGACCTTTTATGCATGATTCTCAAATAAGCCTCACAACACTCCTGTGGCCTAGGATTACTGTTCCATTTTACAGCTGAGGTTCCTGAGCTCCACAGAGATCAGAATGCTCAAAGGCCAACTCTCCTCCGAGTACAGGACAGAAAACAGCAGTTTAAAACTCAAAATCAGCCGGGTGTGGTGGTGCATACCTGTAATCCCAGCACTCAGGAGGCTGAGGCAGGAGGATTGTTGCAAATTCGAGACCAGCCTGGGCTACAAAGTGAGCTCAAGTTCAGCCTGAACTGCATAGTGAGGCCCTGTCTCAAAAAGACAAAAATAAATAAACAAACAAACAAACAAACTCACTCTCTACAGAGCAGGAGGCTGGTGGTGGGGACAGAGTGGCCTGCCCAGGAACAGTGAATTAGTGGCAGCTTCAGGAATTTAATCTGGTTCACTGTGATTTAGTTCAGTGTTTGCTATGCTGTGAAGACCAGTTTGGAGGGACTGATGCACTCAGAAAGAGAAGCCAGAAAGGAAACCTTGTACTTTTATGATAAAAAAGGAAAACTTCCCCAGAGAGCATACCCTGTCTCTCCTGCCGCCCTAAATACACAGCAGATGTGGACGAGCACCTAGCTAGAGATAGGCCTAATCAAACAAACCATGGATCAATAACCATGTATGAGAAGAAACTTAAAGCTACCCTGGGCATTTTGTCTGGTCCAGTTCATGTAATCTCTCAACACCTCATGAGGCAAGGTATTATAGTCCCACTTTACAGAAAAGAGAACTAAAACCCAGAGAGGTTAAAAAGTTTGTTGAGTGAGTGACAGCATGAATCTTACGCTGTATTTCATGGAATGCCTGTCCTGATGACCCGATGACCTAGAGTTTAGCAAGCATTCTATTTCCCAGCTCTCTCAGGCCCAAGGTTCTGGGAATGTGATCCTTTGGTGCAGCAGCCTTTAGAGCCAGGAAACTGGGGGCTGGGTTTGAGGTTAAGCAAACAGAGCAACAGAAAAGGCAGCTGTTCTTCTCCAGCCTTCCTGCCCTATCTGGCCTTTCCCTCCCGCCAGCAGCAGAGCACAGACTTCAGGAGCTCAGAGCCCAGCTACCCAGGCCCTCAGCTGGAGGTCCTGCCATGGCACCCCGGAGGCCCCTTCTCATGCTGGCCCTGCTGGCATGGATTGCTCTGGCCGACCAAGGTGCAGGAGGGTATTGGTGGCAATGCGGTGGGGGGTGGCCGAGGGTGGCCCAGGCTTGGCCGCGCCAACTAACACCCCCTCTCCGTAGAGTCATGCAAGGGGCGCTGCACTGAGGGTTTCAATGCTGACAAGAAGTGTCAGTGTGACGAGCTGTGTTCTTACTACCAGAGCTGCTGCAATGACTACATGGCTGAGTGCAAGCCCCAAGGTGTGTTCTGAGCCCAGGGGTGTAGGCCTTGGAGTCCCTCTGCCGTTGGAAACTCATTACTGCCCACTCTGCCTGCAGTGACTCGTGGGGATGTATTCATGCGGCCAGAAGATGAGTATGGAATCTATGATTATGAGGCCAAGGACAACACCAACGACCTCTCACAGACGGAGAGCCCTTTCCTGAGCCCTGACTTGCAGTCTCAGCCTGAAGGGACCTCTGAGCCGGCACCTAGCCCGAACACTGAGGAAGAGGCTCCTACGTTTGAAGCAAGCACCCAAGGGCCTGAAGTGGGGACCTCAGGGCCTCAGGCCACTGATCAAGGAGCCCGTGAGTCCCCAGCAGAGGAAGAACTGTGCAGCGGCAAGCCTTTTGATGCCTTCACTGACCTCAAGAATGGTTCCATCTTTGCCTTCCGAGGTGACTCCAGGGGCAGGTCCCGGGGGTCGGGGTCTACCACAGGAGCACCTCTCCCTCACACAGCCTTCCTCACTCTAGGGCAGTACTGCTACGAGATAGATGAAACAGCAGTGAGGCCTGGGTACCCCAAGCTCATCCGAGATGTCTGGGGCATCGAGGGCCCCATTGATGCTGCCTTCACCCGAATCAACTGTCAGGGGAAGACCTACCTCTTCAAGGTGCCAGGCCCAGGGGCTGTGGGGCCAGGTAGCAGGCAACTATGAAGGGACTGGGAGCTGGTATGCCAGGGCCATGGCGGGCAGGAAGGCCGGAACTGGAGCTCTGTGGTACCTGGCCAGGGCCCGGAGCTGGAGACAGCCCATCTATGGTCTGGGCCTCTGTCTCTGCCCAGCTATGGCTGGCCGCATCTATATTTCATCTATTCACTCCATTTTGCCTTCCCTGTCTCTTAGGGTAACCAGTATTGGCGCTTTGAAGATGGCATCCTGGACCCGGATTTCCCTCGAAACATCTCTGAAGGCTTCAGTGGCATCCCAGACGACTTGGATGCAGCCTTGGCGCTCCCTGCCCACAGCTACAGCGGCCGGGAGCGGGTCTACTTCTTCAAGGGTACTTGGTGGTGGGGGGAGAATGGGTGGGTACAGTGGTGGAGGGTCTTTGTTCCCTTCCACAATTCCTTGGGAACAGGCCCCAGCATATATGCCCCCACCCTGCATGAAGAGATCCTAGCTTCAGGAGCCCCTGGGCTCTCCAGCCTTGTTCAGACCCACCCTCCGGGTTTCCCCAGGGAAACAGTACTGGGAGTACGCGTTCCAGAACCAGCCCAGCCAGGAGGAGTGTGAAGGCAGCTCCCCGTCTGCTGTGTTTGAGCACTTTGCCCTGCTGCAGCGGAACAGCTGGGAGGACATCTTTGAGTTGCTTTTCTGGGGCAGATCCTCCGGTAAGGGAAGAGGGCAAGGAGGGCGGGGAGCCCCCAGGAAGAGGTAAGGTTGGGCTGTCGGGAGGGCTTGTGACTGGGGGGCTATTGATCAAGAGCTGTTTGCTCAGACTGGACTTTGCTTTTGTTGACCTTTGTGGGGAGGCTTGGCTCCACTTTGACCCCACAGCTTGGACTTTGCCTAGCACAGCCAGCAGAGGGAGGGGCTGTGGCTGAGGGGCTAGCGTGCCCTGAGGTTTGGGGAGATGACATCACGGATATGGTGGAGCAAGGACACAGGAAAGGACACTGGACAGAAAACCTGAGGCTTAGGTGCTGGGCTCTGCCACCAGCTTGCTGTAGCTAGGCATAGCCAGTGAGCTTTAAAGGATCTGTTGGAGAGGGCAGGTCCCGGGCCCCTTACGTTCCCCATTGATCTCTTCCCTGCCACAGGTGGTGTCAGAGCGCCCCAGTTCATCAGCCGGGACTGGCATGGTGTGCCCGGGAAAGTGGATGCCGTGATGCCTGGCCGCATCTACATCTCAGGCTCTACACTCCCCTCTCCCCGGGCCAAGAAGCAAAAGTCTAGACATCGCAGCCGCAAACGCTACCGTTCACGCGGCAGCCGCAGTCGCAGCCGCAGCCGCAGCAGCAGCCAGAACTCCCAGCGGCCGTCCCGTTCCCTCTGGCTGTCCTTGTTCTCCAGTGAGGAGACCGGGCTGGAAGCCTACAACTACGATGACTATGAGATGAGCTGGCTTGTGCCTGCCACCTGTGAGCCCATTCAGAGTGTCTACTTCTTCTCAGGAGGTGGGAGCCTCTGCCTCCCCAAGCTGGCCTGGCCTTCCCTGCTAGCCTTGGTCCCCACGGGCTGACCACAGTCTGCAGGCGGTAGCCCCAGGAAGCCAGGCCAGGAGCCTCTTGCTGCATTGTAGATGGCCACTTTCCCTTCTGGGGGTCTTCTTTCTCAGGACAAGAGTGGGCGGGTTCAGGCTGGGTCTCACCCACCCCTTCCTGTCTTCTCTTTCAGACAAGTACTACCGAGTCAACCTTCGCACACGCCGAGTGGACACTGTGAACCCTCCCTACCCACGCTCTATTGCGCAGTACTGGCTGGGGTGCCCAGCCCTAGACCGCCTGTAGGAATCAGAGCCCACACAGCTGGAACTCCATAGCTCCCTCCACTAGCTTGCGCATCCCAGACTAATAAAGGTCCCTTGACCCTGAGTTTAAGACTACTTATTGTGTTGATTGGGGTAGGCAGACCCCTGCCTGGTTAAAGGAGGGGAAGGTAGGCTGTCAGGGCAACCTGAGGGGAGAAAGAGAGAAGAACCTTGCTGTGTCCATCCCGTGCTGGGCTCAGGCAGCAGAACAACTGGTTAGACATCTTTGAGGAGTTGCTTTTCTGGGGTAGATCCTCTGGTATGGGAGGAGGGCAAGCCTTGCTTCTGCCTCAGGAGGACTGAGGCTGAGGTATGGAGAGATGGGGAAAGATAGGACTGGAAGGAAATTCCCATGTAGCCCCTGAGCAAAGCAGCCCAGAAGACTCCCAAAGAAGAGAACTGTAACCATCTCTCTTAATCCTCCAATGGTGCACATGGGACCTCCTCTAGTTCCAGGTTCCTGGACTTCGGGAAGCCCATCTGGGCTCTTGAGTGACCAGCCACAGTGGGTTAGATGCAAGAAAAGATCTAGAGCAGCCCCAAGGGCAATCTGGTAGTGACATCTGTTCCCCAGCTGTGCTGAGAGCTGGTGGCTCCTGCCCATGTGCTGCCCCATCATCCTTCTTATCCTATCTAGCTTCACTGGCCAGTCCTAGGGTTGTGGAATAGAACTCCACACACTCTCCCCTGAAGGCAGCCAGGACCAGGGAACTGAGGGCTCCACAGGGAGCAGCCAAAGACCTGGAGCATTGGAAATATTTCTGTGGCTCCGTGGAAGGGATTTTCATGAGGTTTAGGAGTGCAGGCACAGGTTGCCAGAGGCTGCGGTTTGAACCAGAAGCTGGGGCCCCATTTCCCTTGGTGGAGCTCAGAAGGGGCAGGGATGTTCAAATTTATCCCACTCGTAACCCTGTCAGCCCTGATCATGCCCCTGGCCTCCCCTCCCTCGTGGACTTCTCTGATTTGCTTTAGCTGGACTCTTAAGCCTCTCCTGGGGGCGGGACCAGTCACTCTGAGCAGCATAAAGCCCCCAGCAGATGGGTGTGGTGTGAGCACAGCCCGGGCATGGCCCTCTGGCTTGTTGCCCTCTGCCAGCTCCACGGCCAGCCCCATGGAGCCATCTTCAGCAGGTGACCTAATGGGAAGAGGGTGGGCAGGCCCAGGAGGGGGCAAGGTATGGTGGGGAACACTGGAGAGGGCGGGGAGGAAGTTTGCGGGGTCTGTGGAAGGATCTGAGGCTGGGTAGAGACGCTTACAGGAAGTTCTGGCTTCACTCTCAGCCCCGCCTGCAGACCGTGCCAGTGAGTTGGGTCCCCACCGGAGAAAGAGGACCACCTTCAGCATTGGGCAGCTGCTGGAGCTGGAGCGGGTGTTTGCAGCATGGCCCTACCCTGATATCGGCACTCGAGAGCACCTGGCCAGGGTCACCTGCCTGCCTGAGGCCAAGATACAGGTGAGCTGTGACCCCTTGGGCCTGGGCACTCTCACTCAGCCAACTTTGAGCTTGACCTGCAGCCTCTCCTCTGGGCATTCTACCTGCGGGTTGTTTCCCCTGGTGCAGGGGAGGGGTTGTTTGAGCCAGAAAAGACCCTTTTGCCTTCCCTACCAGGTATGGTTCCAGAACCGCAGGGCCAAGAGAATCAAGCACAGGAAGCCAGGAGGACTCGATTCCAGGCCTGAATGTCCCCAGAAGTGCCACTCTCTTCCACACACACCCCAGCAGCCCTGGGAGCCCCAAATGGTGGGCCAGCCTCTACCTGCCACCACCACAGCTCACCGCACCTCAGCGTGTCTGCAGGCTTCCTGTAAAGCTCCCATCTGGGGTCTAGGGCAGGGCTGGACAGGGGCTAAAGTTGCAGCCCCATGGGGACCAGCTGGGGTTCCAGGAGTCCACCCTTCTTTGGAGGTAGCTACTCCTCAGACCTCACTGGGCAGCCTGTCTGACCTTATTTATGCCTCAGCCATTGTCACCAATGTGGATCACTCTTAACCCAGAGGCAGAATTTGTAAGATCCCTCCTCCTTTGGCTCTTGTATCCCACCTCTGTTTACACAAAGGAGTTTTCTAATACGAATTTAGCTCCCTTTCACTGACCTCCAGGCCAGTGCAGGTGCAGGTCTCCTGCAGTGACTGGGGTTTGGCTCCTGCTACCTGGCACCCTAGCCTTTCCTGAGGTAGATGCCCAGTGTCTTGGTAGGAGTCTATGTTACCCCCTCCACTGTCACATCTGGTTCCCGATTCTCATCCCAGGTGACCTCGCTCTAAAAAGGGGACAGCCACTGTTTGATGAGGGCCATTTAGGCCATTACCTAACTAACTGCTAAGCAAGCAGGAGACAAGAGTGCTGCTCCAAATCTGAATTGCTGGGGACCCACGCTTATGGTTCAGGGGCCCCTCTCCTGACCACCTGCTGCCTGGACAATTAATTTCTATGGTTCTGAAGGGGGAGTGATATGAAAGCAATAAAGTAGAAACAGGAGCTGGGGCTTAGGGTGGTTTAATTTTCACAAAGATCATATTGGCTGTCCTCTGATGTGGGCCTATGGGGACCCGACAGATTTAGGGTGGAGGGGGTACACCAACAATGGGTCTTGGTATCCTCATCTGTATGTAATACCAACTAATCTCCAAATAAAACCTTAACTCTGTACCTTAATCTGGATTGTTGTGTACTGCAAATGAACGGGGACAAGGGCCATTTGCCTTGGAAATTTATCTCCATCACCTAATCCCTAAATAGGGCCAGGTTCCATGCAGAGTGGGTGGGAGGTATTACCCAGGCTTCTGCTGGGAGGGATGGTTAATTGAAGGGTTTAGGGCTCTGACAGACCCTGTGGAGGTGGGAGCCTCTGCTGGTACCGTCCTGGTCCCAGTGTTTCCAGAGACTTCCATGAAAAGCAGTTTTTTTTTTTTTTTTTTTGTCTTTTTTGAGACAGGGTCTCACTATGCAGTTCAGGCTGGCCTTGAGCTCACTTTGTAGCCCACGCTGGTCTCGAACTTGCAATGATCCTCCTGCCTCAGCCTCTGAGTGCTGGGATTACAGGTGTGCGTCACCACGCCCAGCGAAAAAGGAGTTTGTGATCAGTCTATGCTAGACTGATTGATTGATTGATTTGTCTTTTTGAGACAGGGTCTTGCTATGCAGTTCAGGCTGGCCTTGAACTCACGTTGTAGCCTAGCCTGGCCTCAAACTCGAAGTGATCCTCCTGCCTCAGGCTCTTGAGTGCTGGGATTCCAGGTGTGCGCCACTACCCCTGGCTATGAGCTAGATTTAAACCCCAGCTCTGTGATCCAAGTAGAAACTCTCTGAAACTGATTAAGCTTGAAAGGCAGGATGGTAATATTTGCTTCCTCCCCATTTTAGAAATTTTTTAGCTGGTCATAGGTGATGCATGCCTGTAATCCCAGCACTTGGGGAGGCTGAGGCAGGAGGATCCCTTAGAGTTTGAGGCCAGCCCAGGCTACGTAGTGAGCTCAAGTTCAGCTTGTACTACATAGCTGGACCCTGTCTCAAAAACAACTTCCCCAAACCTGAAAATAGAAATTTTTTACATGGTCTCTCTGCTGCTCCAACCAGGAAGCTGGTAAGGCCTCAAACTTCTTGTTCCCCTGACCTCTTGCTAAGCACTTCCTGGACCCAGGGTGTGTTGGAGAAAGCATGGTACAGTCAGAGGAAGTGGCTAAGGCAGGGTTCCCTTCTATGCAAAGAACTGGAGGACAGGACAACTGATTCCTAAGCCTAACTCTGCCCTTGCAGATGGAACCCTCCTTGCAGTGGCCATTTCCTCATCATTACTAGGCAGGAGCTAGGTCTTTTGTATCTATCCCCAGAGGCTACCAGTGCTAGGCACACAGTAAGGTCTCAATGCCACTGAAGGCTGTAGGCTTGTGAGGAGGGAGCTGAGGTCCAATGGCAGACTTCTTCCTAATGAATGGGGTGGCGGGGGTAGATTCCAATTTCATTACGAGAGTCTCCCCACCCCAGGGACCAGCATGTGCTTAGGATTCTGATAAAGTTAAAATGTCTTTAACATTTGGAAGTCTTCTAACCTAACCTCAGGTATTCGGCTGGGGGAGTGTGTGGAAGCTGGAGGCCATGTGGCAGCTGAGCCCAGAGTGCAGGTGTGGGCACAGCCACAAATCCCCACAAGGCTTCAGTGCAGCTTTCTACCCAATCCTCTACAGTTCAGGTTACCAGAATACTGTAAAATGCCACTTACACAGGGCATGATGGTGCACGCCTGTAATCCTGGCACTTGGGAAGCTGAGGCAGGAGGATCGTTGTGAGTTCGAGGCCAGCCTGGGCTACAAAGTGAGCTCAAGACCAGCCTAAACTGGTGAGATCCTGTCTCAAAAAAAAAAAAAAAAAAAAAAAGCCACTTACATTTTCTCATAGCTGACACATCTCCCAACCAATAAAAACAGGCAAATTTTGTTGAGAAAATGTTTATTGGGCTGGTGAGTGTACAATTTATACAAACAAAAGCTTTGGAAAAAACAAAGACTACAGGATTGTGTACAATGAATGAAGAGGAAGACAATTCTACTGTTAGCAGATGCTACACAAGTCTCAGAAGTATGGAAATCTTTGTGCTTTGTACTATTTGTCACCAACTTCAAGTAAGAATACAACTAGACACAATAAATTATTTATTGGGTAAGTAACTGGGGCCGACACCTTTTTACCTGCCTTATATAGGCAGATTCTATCATCACGCTACCATTTAAGTTTTCAGAGGTTTAATAATATTACGCAGAGACATCCAGACAATGTAAGAGTCTTTGGGTCCACTTAACAGAGGAAGGATCACAGTTGGTTATTTGATCCCTCTGGGCCTGTTTTGGCTTCTGGAAATGGGGGCCGATGCCATTTCCGTTTCCAAAACAGTAGCTGCCTGGCTTCAGTTCCACCATCTTGTACCAACCCGTTTTGCTCTTCCTGGGTATCTATCTTCTAATCAGTTCTCCTTCCAGCATAGACTGCAGAGGTGAAGCCTTTTTCTCCTTTCTTGGAGGCTTCTGCTCTCAATTACGGCCCTGCTCCAAAGGCGTGTGCACTAGGACAAGTTCAAGGCAGTACAAGGCAGTACTTCTGGGGAGGCCTGGATTCCATTTACTCCTGATGGAAAAAGCCCAGTCCAAGCAGTGCTCAGAATGGACTGGAGCAGGCAGATGGGCAATGGGTTCAGGAGAAGATACCGAGAAACCAGCTCTTTTACTTTTGAAGAAGTATCATCCCAATCTTCTCTGCTCATTCTGGAAATTTATAGAAAATGGGACTCCTCATAGACACAGCAGGTGTCCTGGTTTGGTTCCTGACTAATTAGAGCTGAGTAAAAGAAGCCTCATGGGCTGACTGAGTCACTGATTGGCAGCCGGGAGCCTGAGGACCCCAAAATCTTCTGCAGTCTCTGATGATGAAGCACTAGTCACAGCTCTCCCAGCTCCCCTTCCACTGCCCGCACCATGACATACAGTTCAGCTAGGCCTACCACTGAGGCGACAATTAATGCAGCCAGCACCCGCTAAGGAAGAAGAGAAACAGGCTTAGGGGATACAGAACTCCCAAACCAGCCCCTAAATTGGAGGAAAGGGAGAGGGGTCCTGGCTTCTCTTGGGATTATTTATTATCCCCCACCACAAATGCTGAAGGGCGCAAATGCTTCCCTTGTTTATTGCATAAATACATGCTCAGTTTTGTACCTGTGCAAGGTACTTCCACATATTCTCCTTTTCCCACTAATACCCCTACCCGCAGCACTTTGCCTGCCCAATGTCAACTCACCGAGGCCATTTCTGTGAAGACATACTGGCTTCCAAGGTAAGTGCAGACAAATGCAGCTGCCACCGTCACAATGAAGTTGAAGATGGTGATGACCAGAGCCTTCACTGATCTCACTTTAGGGAAAAGCCCAGAGGAGAAACCTTGAGGTCATCCTTCTCCAGGAGGCTCTCTTACCTCAATCCACTGAGTTCTCTTAAGAGTATGTCTGAATAGCTCAGCCTGTAGCCCAGGATGGTGGGGTGGGAAGGCCATAACCCACCTCAAGCAGAGGCTTTGGCAGCCTGGTTTCCTAGGATCTTACCTTGCTTTCCCAAGTCACTGAGAGTCCCACCATGCCGAGAATCCTGGGCAAAAGAGATGCAACAGCAGAGAATTTCAGGATAGAAGCAGCCCAAGGGTAGCCCAGACAGCTCCTATTTATTGGTCTAGGCTCAGCCCTCTCTATTCCTTAATAAATTAACTCTGCATTCTCCATGGATTCCTTTGTCTAGAACCAATCTGCCTCTTTTCTGTGCCACAAATCAAGCATTACAGAGAAAAGGACATAGGTTCCAAATACCCATCTGTTCCTTTCCCGTTTCAGGGCAGCAGCACATCAGAAAGTAATAGGGAGTTCTGTCAATAAAAAAGACTCCAAGGCTCATCCCTATATCTACAATGTTTTAAGAATTAATCACCATCCAAGCCAAGAGTCTTGATGAAAAGCTGTGTATGGTGGTGCACACCTGTCATCTCAGCACTTGGGAGGCTGAGGTAAGAGGACTGTTGTGAGTTCAAGACCGCCTGAGCTACAAAGTGAGCTCAAGGTCAACCTGAACTGCATTGTGAGACCTGTCTCAAAAAGACCAAAAAAAAAAAAAACAAAAAAGTCTCAGTAATAAGTTTGGAATTACAGTTTATACGCAACATAGAACACCTATGGTCCCATAATACTACACAAACCAAGGTCTTATGTTGTTTCTTCCCTCTATACTTCTTTCTAGGGCAGAGCCCTGTTTTTAGGGGTAATCAGTCCATGTACTGCGTGTACTGGAAAGCACACTCTTACCTGACAGGTGACATTGCGAGTGATCCGCTTATATTCCTCATTGGCCAGGTGTATCTTAATCTTCTCCAGTCGGGCAACTAACTCTGGGTTCTGCGGTAGAAGAATTATATGAAAAGAACGACATTCTTCTATGTATTTCTTGCTAGAAAGTAGGTCAGTCTTTGGTTCCAGGGGCACAGAGACCCACATGCCTGCCAGTCATATTTCCACTGCTTTGGAAACTGATTTTTGGATATAAGTTTCCCAAACCTGTCAAATACAGAAGACTCTCTCATCCTAGAGCCTGAAGATTTAACACAAATTTTGAAGCCCCCAAACTGACTAATAAATTTGATGCCTAACTCAATAACTATTCTCACAAATATATCCTGTACTTACTCGAGGAGGCTTCACAACCTCTGGGAGGTAGATTTCACTGCCTTCTAAAAGCTCATGAAGATATAGTGTGGAACCTGGGGGGAAAAATATTTCCAATAGTGATCTACTGAACTGAGGTTGAAAGATTAAGATCAGTAAAGGGTCTACCAAAATAAAACACGGCCATCCGCATGTCAACCTATCCTCAGGATGATTTTCAAATTGGGGAAAATTCTACCTATTTTCTAGCGCTGCACAGCAACTGTAACTGTCACTTCACCCTGCAAAAGTGACCACCAACACTTAATACTTTGCTTTTGGGTTAGGTCATAGTGATGTCAAATACTGATGAGATCATTTCTTTCTACGGTTTTTTAGTTCTAGTAGTTGAGCAGTCTACTTTGTACTTCTGGCTGGGCTATGTAAATCCTGGCTAAACACCTTTGCTGAAGGTTTGTCTTATTCTCTCTAACAGATAAGGAAATAGAGGCTCAGGGAGGAAAAATGACTTCTTCAGGGGGAATTACCGACAGATGTAGGACTAGGACTTATATGCCACTACTTCAGAAATTTCAAGGTAGATTTTCTCTTAAAAAAACAACAAAAAAAGCACATTTTATTACTCTTGCTTTTGAGATGGAAAACAATCCAAATTTCCAAAAGGGCAAGCTCAGTAAGCTAAGTTGGTTCCTACTGTGGTGAAAAAGGAAGAAACCGAACCTGGCACATGGTACTGGGTCGGAACCTGGGCTTTCTCTTTTTTAAAAATTTTTTTATTTTTTGGTACCGGGAATCGAACTCATGACCTCAGGCTTGCCAGGCAAGCACTGATGCCACTGAGCTATATCCCCGGCCCTGTCCTGGGCTTTCTCGAGGGTCAGGCGGGCCTGGCTGTGCTTACCAGACGACACTCAAAAAAACAGTCTATACAACACAAATAAAAATCCACGAAAAATTCCCACAGGGGTGGAGAAAGGAATGGTGGCCCTGGGGTTTATGAAGAGATTGCTGGATTGGCTACACGATTACACCGCAGGCGTGGGAGCGGGATGGAAAAGATCTCAGGTGGGAGCAGATCCAGAAACAACGAGGCGCCCTCGGACTGGACACGGGCTCACCCCTTTCTCTGAGATGCTGGTGCAGATCCCGGATCAGACGGAAGGAAACCAAGCGTCGAGGGCCACTGGGACTAGTACCATTCGCGCGCTTCTTTCCCAGAGCGGCCTCAAGCTCGGCCCGCAGCTTCCGGGGCAGCTTCTCTGACTGTAACTCCCCGCCAGGCCCCAGAGCGCGCACCAGACGCTCTCCTACCACCAACGAAGACGCCATGTCTAGCCCGCTCTAAGATCAGCTGATTCCCCAAACTCGGACTTCCGGGTGCGCGCCGGAAGTGGCGCAAGCCGAGGGGCGGGGAGAGGCAGGGCGCAGGGCCAAGGGGGCGGGCGCGGTCGCAGGGCAGTGTGGGGC